AAGCTCCCCCTGCCCTCCCCTCTCTCCCAGAGGATGCGGGTGCCAGGCACAGCCCGTGCTAGCTGGGACAGCCAGACAATATCCCCTTTGTAGGGCACAAACCCATCTGGGGTGGCAAAACCCTCACATTACAGGGGACAGGACCTGCACTTCAGAGAAACGCTGCTGAGCACCCCAACCTCCAAACAGCCCCTTACATGGGAAGTGGTTTTACAGCTTTGAATAAATCATGAGGCCAGTAAACAGCAGCTGTTTACTGGCAGCTGCAGAGCTCACACCTCGCTGTGGGACTGGGGTTCACACCTCCCGTGGGGCTCCGACCTCCCTACAGAGACACAGCCCTGCCAGGATCCTGCAGAGAGGGGCCAGCACTGGGCAAGGGGGTCCGGGGGCCGTCAGTCCCCATCTCTGGAGGGGTTTAACAGATGTGAGGATGTGGCACTTGGGGACCTGGGTTAGTGGTGGCCTTGGTAATGCTTGGAGGATGGTTGGACTCAATGACCTCAGAGGGCTTTTCCAGCCTAAATGATTCCATGATTCTATGATTAGGGAAGTCCTCCAGCTGTGGCAATGGCCCTTACACAAGTTTAAGGGTTATCCCTGCTCTCGGGGGAGGTTGTGGTTCCAACTTGTGGGGATCAGCCAGACATCCCGTGCTCCCTGGGGCCACCTCCACCCATTCGACTCAAAAAATCCTAAAAAGCTGCACAGCAGGAGCACCAATGAAAATGAAAACTGTTAGTGTCTTGTTTAATTTTATTTTTCCTTGATTATAACGAGCAGGCAAGGCCCACTGGGTTCATTAAAAGTGGGTTTGGTATTCATAGAATCATAGAGTGGTTTGATTTGGAAGGGATCTTAAAGACCACCTTGTTCCACCCCCCCTGCCATGGGCAGGGACACCTTCCACTGTCCCAGGTTGCTCCAAGCCCTGTCCAGCCTGGCCTTGGGCACTGCCAGGGATCCAGGGGCAGCCACAGCTGCTCTGGGCACCCTGTGCCAGGGCCTGCCCACCCTCACAGGGAACAATTCCTTCCTCATATCTATTCTAACTCTACTCTCTTCTAGTTTCCATCCCAGCAGAGCTCTGAATTTTCAACCTAGTCCTCCTTGCTTTTTCTGGGGCACTCAACAACGACCTGAATGAGGTGGGCAGAGGATGTAGCCCCAGCAGACACTTTGTCTCGTCCTCCCAGACATTTGGAGTTTGAGGGATGCTGAAGGGGGTGGGTTGGGTGTGTCCCAGCCCCTGGAGCCAGCAGTCAGGGTGAGCTAGGGGTACAGCCCCACAGTCACCTCCCTAAGGCTTAAAATTTTGAAAACTCAGGTTTTCCCTGTTTCTTTCTTTTCTTTTCATGCCAAGAATGGAGAGGGGTGTGCAGCAAAGAGGCTTTTTTATTTCACTTTAATTTGCTTTGAAATACTGTACACTTCATCCTCTTTGGTTTGTTCTGCTTCAAAAGAAGGGCCAGGAAAAATCTGAGGCATCAGCCATAGAAAGAAGGGCATTCCCTGGAATATTTTATTTTGTGAAATGCCTTCGCTGGAGAAGGATGGCAAGATATACATTTCTTATCAGCTATGACCAGCTTCCTGTTCTGACATGATTTTGGGGAAACACAAAGTGTTTTCTGTGAACCAGCCAGAGGTGACTGGCCAAGGTGGCCATGCTCTCCCTTGGACCCATCACACAGGAGACAGATGGCCCCCAGTCACTTCCACAGGCACAGCTTCTTACTGGAGTCAGTTCCAGGATGTGACATCATCTAAAAAATTCCAACATTTCTCTAACAATATCAGGAATGGTGGGGGTGAAATTTCTGGGCTGGAATGTCACCAGTGCTGGAGCTGGAACAGGGCAGGATGGAGCAGGCACTGGTGGATCTTGGCTTAGGGACAATTTCTGAACTCAGGAAATCTTTAATTACTTCCTTTTCTGAGTGAATCCGAATTTTCAGCATTAAACCCTGCTATAAATAGCAACTTAGATCAGCCAGTCTCACCAGTTTTTTCCAGGTTCCCCTTTCATTCACGACAGAGAATTTCCCTATTTCTTCTGTCACTGAATTTATTTTGGGCATTTGCTTTACATAGCACTTTCTCCTGGGATTTTATGGGGGATTTGTAGAAAACCTCAGTCATATCCCTCTGTCTAAAACAGGGCAACATCAGCCAGACTCCTTCAGATGACAAATCCCACTGACTCCAAACACTGCCTGCTGGGTCAGGAATTCTAAAACCACCTGATGGGAAAACTTCCTCCTTACACCACCACTTTGCTGTATAATTAAATTAATCACCCCAGAGGTGCTCCAGCCCACTTTTCCCACTCTTCCATAGCCATCTTCATGTCTCAAGGCTCCTCTCAGGGAAGATGGTTCCTTATCTGAGACACACTCAACCTCCCTTCCTACAAGAGGGAAGAGCTGGAAGAGATTACTTTCTCTTTTCATCATCACTGCAATGTGGGGAGTGGGTAAGAAAACATTTTTTTAGAATCATGTTGCAACATCCCAGGGCATCACTGGCATGACTGTAACCTCCCACCTCCATCCAGCTGGCCACGAGCTGGCAGAGCAGGATCTTTTGTCAGATTTCTAAGGAAGAATTGGATTCCTAGAAACCAGGCAACTTGGCTTTGGGGTTGTTTTTGGCTCTCAGCAGTAGAAGAGTTTCAGCCCTTACCACTCCCCAGTAACACACATTACCTAAACTAAACTGATCCTAAACTGACTCAGGAAATTTTTGCTTTTATTAATTTCAAAATAGTCCCTGAGAGTGCAAAATAATTTGGCACGTGCTTGCTGACAAATGGATTAAGGCACAGAGGTGTCCAGCTGCCTGAAAGAAAAAATCTCTCATTGAAAACATTTGAATAATCAAAGCAGATCCCAGACTAATTCTTCTGTGTTCATGAAACTCGTGTTTTAGCAAAACATTTCTCCGCATTTGGTACCGTGAGCCTCGGGAGCGGGACGGGAGCACTTGGCTGTCGGTGCCGGATCTCCCAGCGTAACCCACGGATGCTTGAAGGCACAGTCAGAGGGGACAGCTCAGAGGCAAACCCCACTCCTACATCCCTGTACAAGTTCAATTCCCTGAGCAACCAGACAGGATCCTAGGGAGCTGATGCTCCCTCCCTCCCAGCCCAGCTGGCGTCTGTCAGAAGGCCAGGTTCCCACCTCCTGTCTGGCTGGGCACCCTGCATGTGGAGGCAGGCTCTGTCCTCATCTTCGCAGGGTATTTGGAGACAAGCACGATAACAAACAGAGAGAGGCAATGGGATCTGGACTGATGAGTGAGCCTGCAAGGTGCCTCTCTGCAAAAGAAAAGATGGAAATGGGCCAGATTAGCTGCGGAAGGGGATGCTCAGTTTGGCAAGAGCCGTATTTGCTCCATGGGGTAGATCTGCCCTCCCCAGTCTGGGTGAGAGACACCACCACAGCTCCCAGCAGGAGCCTCCCTCAGGGTGGACAAGTCTAGGGCTTCTCCTGTGCCTTGTCCTCTGGAGCCCTCGCTGCCCACCTGGAGCATGGAGCTAACTGGGCACAGCTGGTGGAGGGATGAAGGATATTGGGAAAACACCAGGTTATTTACAGAAGGTTCCTGGGGAAGAGCTGGAAACCTTTAATAGAACAGGATGACTCAGCACCCAGTACTGCCGGGGGGAGTGCAGAGGTGCTGGGGTGAGGTTGGGTTGCTCCACTTTACATTATTAGCCTTCCACTGGTATTCAGGAAGTGTATCAAGACATCACCATTCCATGATGTCTTGAAAATAACAAAATGGAGACATTGCCCAGGAATGTCTGCTTTCCTGTAGAGAACAAATATCCTTCTAGGAACATCTCACTACAGCTGGACAGCCCTCAGCTCTTCCTAGAGCACTCATCACCTCCCTGCCTGGCCTTTCCTCTCTTCCTCAGGGAGTCTGTCAGACCTCCATGGCTCTGTGTGGAGGCTGGTGGCTTCTTCCCAGTGACCTATCCCTGTCTCGGTCCTTGCCCAGCCTTCACAGAACTCTTACTCTCTCCCATACGTTGTACTGCTTCCCCAGTCTGTGGTCATTTTCTCTCATCAGCTGAGACAGGATACTCTTTTCTTCCTAACATCCCAGTTTCTGCCCATGCTCTCACCCCACAGTTAATCAGCTCGTCATTTTCAGAACCACCCTTTCCTTCCTACCCTGCTCCTGGAACTCCTTCTGCCTCATCTTCAGGGTTACAAGTCTCCACACTTCTTTCAGCTCTCTGTATCCTCATGCCCAGACTACCAGTAGCCCTTGAAATGTAACTGTTTAATCTGTATTTTAAAAAAGGTATAATTAAATTATAGGACCTTATAGGACCTGAAACGCATCAGGCAGAGATAGCAAGTAGTCCATCTCAGCTCTCCCTTCCCTTAAATTGAGGAGGAAACTTGAGTGTTTCAGCTTTTCAGACTGCCCTTTCATGCCCACCACTACCTATGCCAGTGCCTGCAGTGCTGTCACAGCAGGACATGCCCTGAGGCACCTCCAACCATGCAGGTAACTGGTGACAGCTCCCACCTCCTGCTCCTGGGACAGCAAGGGCTTTGCAGATATGGGAGGGGAGAAGTCCATGGTAAAGGATACTTCAGTCTCTTTTTCCCTAAGCAGCCTCATTTTACCCATGCTCCTGGGCCCTCCAGCACAGCTCTTGCATGGATACGCTCTCCCCTCGGAGCTGCTGGGAAGGTTGGCTAATAGGGCGACTTAACAAATGCAGGAACCTCCACAGAGGAACTTCTTACTAAGGGACAGCCATGAGAGAAGCAGAAATAGCCACAGTGACTGTTTCATATCCTGTGTCACTGGGGAGGCACTGAATCAAGCAGGGAGCTTCACTCTTCCGGGGCTGGGGCTGCTCTGTTCCATCACGAGACTGCACCACAAGTGGACTCTGGTGGAAATTCCACCATGCCTACGCAAGCCACTGCATGGATCTCTCACCCCATAAATTGAGGGGCTGCTGATGGTCTCAGCATCAGACAGCGAAGAGACTTCCAAGATACCCTTGCCTGCTCCTGCTCCAGCTCCAGCCACCACTTCTCCACCAACATGAAGGTGTCTGTGGTTGCTCTCGCCATCCTCATCGCTGCCTTCTGCAACCAGACCTCTGCTGCTCCACGTAAGTCCAGGCTCTCCTCACCCTCCCTAAGTGGGGACAGGAGAAATGTCGCTGCTGGGACAGCCCCTGCTGACAGCACTTCCAATCCAGGTCCCTGCCTCTGTCCCACCATCTTCTGGCAGGTGCTCCAGGGCTGTGGGACAGGCACAGCTCAAGGACCATTAGCATAAAAGCTAAAGGTTTTTTAGCCTTTTTAGGGTAAAAGTACAACCATGCCCCCTACCCCTGCTACAGGAGTCAAATGTGGCACCCTGAGGCAGGCTAGGTCTGTTTCCCAGCTTTGGGCTGGGACATGTTGTCTGGTGGCATGGGCTGTGTCAATGCCAACTCAGGGTGAATCCAACAGGGAAACAACTGAAGACTCCACCTCTTCCCTGCTCCCTAGACCCAGGGAAGGGTGATCCTAGCTCCCTGCCCTGTTCCTTGTCCCTTGCCACTGCTCATGACTGTCTTTGCCTTCACAGTTGGCTCTGACCCACCAACCTCCTGCTGCTTCTCCTACATCTCCCGGCAGCTGCCCCGCAGCTTTGTGAAGGATTACTATGAAACCAACAGCCAGTGCTCCCAGCCTGCCGTTGTGTAAGTCCCTCCTCTGGGCCAGGGGGGTTTTGGGGAGTCAGGGAGGGAAAGGCCTTTCCAAAGACAGGGAAGGAAGGCTGGGGTAGGTGAGAAGTACAAGGTGGTGCTTGGAGCACAGAAGGCACACACCGCTCCTGCTCTAGCCCTTTGCAGATAAAACTGGTGTCTGCTGGTTAGGATGGGCAAGGCATGGAGCTGCTGATCATTGGGAGAGGCTGGGCTTGGGCAGGGCTCTTGTCCCAGCCCTGGAAGTGCTCAAGGCCAGGTTGGATGGGGATTGAAACAACCTGGTCTAGTGGAAGGTGTCCCTGCCCATGGCAGGGGGTAGAACAGGATAAGATTTAAGGTGCCTTCCAACACAAACCATTCCATAATTCCATGATTCTGTGATTCTCCATTCAATGCTCTCCCACCAGAAACTGACTTCCTTGCACCCCACAGGTTCATCACCAGGAAGGGCCGGGAAGTCTGTGCCAACCCCATGGAGGACTGGGTCCAGCAGTACGTGAATGAGCTGGAGCTGGACTGAGATCCTGGACAGATCCAGCTGCTCCATGTCCCCAGCTGCTGGGATGGACGAGCATGACTAACTGGGGTCCATTGGAAGTGCTTCAATGTCATTTAGACTTAGCTGAGAAACTGAAAATATTCCAAAATCCAACTAAATATTGTGCTATTTAATTTTTTATAGGAGATGGATCAGGTGCAATAACTCTGAGATAAAAAATAATTTTATTTTATATATATTTTTTTAATTTTTTTTTTACCAGTAAACTCAGGTTATGTTTTCTGTATTTAAGTAACTGTATTTTTGACACAAAATTCAATTCCGATGTCAATAAATAAATATTTTTGTAAGAACCTGCTGTGTTTGCCTCTGTTACAATCCTTTGGGGTGACAAGCTGAAATTATAATAGTGGCAAGAAGTTCTTTATTTCCTTTTCCACATTGTCAAAATTCTTACAAGCTTTCTGTGTCTGAACATCCTGTTTTGCAAAATAATAATAAGAAAGGCCATGAAGGAGGAGTTGTGAGAAGGGCAGGGATTGCATTCGGGTAACTTGTCTCAAACATTTTATAAGGTATTTAATGTCCATTCATTATGACAACTGGAAGCTCATTAAACTGTTGCTGGCCCCATTATAATCAATCAAAATATTACCTTTAGGGGCTGTAATTTTTAACATATTGGCTGTTTTAGGGAAAGCTTTCTGAGAGCTACAGCTAAAATGGATCAGCTATTTCCAGAGCTGAGGGTGGAAAAAATATGTTTCACTGCAAGAATTTTAGAATTATTTCATTAAGCTCTCATTTAGCTGGGACATAAAGCTTGGCAGATATTCCTTCTCGGTAATACCTTTACTCTAAAACCTGCTCATCTCTGGAGATGACTGTCCAGAGGTGACCATGCCACACCCCAGTCCAGGGCAGGACCTGCCCCTGCAAGGAAAGATCTCCCCTGGTTTCCCCCTGGAGCTGAAGGAGATGGAGCCCACCTTAGTGAAGGTATTTCCCACATCCCTGATGGCATTTCCCACATCACTGATGGTATTTGGGATGTTCTGATCAGCTCTGGACAGGCTCTGTTGGATCAGCAGGGAGGATTTGGGTTCCTCCTGCCTGGATCTCCAGTGCAGTCAACGGAAAAATGCTCGACTCACTCCACTGGATTTCCATACTGGATTTGGGATTTCAAACACAAACACCAGTGGGACACAGGGGAGCAGAGCAGGAGGTGGCCCTGGGCAGGGGTGACCTTGAGCAGACACAGAGGGTGGATGGTGAGCAGGGAGAGGAGGCTCAGGAGGGGCTGGGAGGGATCGGGAGACATGGGTGTGCCTGGGGGAGGAAAGAACACATCGCTCCTCACTTGGGCAACTGCAGCCCCCGGCTCCTCAGCCCACGGCACCCTGGGGATCCCATCAGTCATTTCCCCCCAGTGCTGACTGCATCCAGCTTAAAATAGCAGCCTAGGAGGAGGGGAGTGAGGTAGAGAGCAGGACCAGAGCCCCCTTCCCTGAGACGCTGCTGGGAGGGGAGGGAGCCCATGGCTGGGAGTTTCAGATGGACATTGCCACCCGCATGTGAAGGTGGCTTTGGTGAAAGCCTGGACTCCACCAGACCCTGCACACCCCAGGGCCAGCTCCAGAAGGAGGGCTCATCAGGGCCAGGAAAAAATCTTGGCCACTGGGTACCAGCCACTCTGGGTGCTGCTGGGCAGATTCACCCCGAGGACTGAGATTGGCACAAAGCCCAGTGCCCAGAGCTGCCCTCTCTCCAGGGAACAGCAGGAGCAGGACACAGGAGGGGGAAGACCTGTGATGGGATTATCCCAGAATCACTAGACCCTCCACAGTCCTTCTTGGATGCAAGCCCCGCCTGGCCCTGTGGCACTGGGAGTAGTCCCAGAGCCTCAGGGTTTCTTCTGGAAGGGCACAGGTTCATCCAGGGAGTACCATCCACGCTGCAGCCTGCAGAAACGACCCCTGGTGCAGTGTCCTAAAGCACCCGGGGTGCACTGCAGCCTCCCCCAGCTCCAGGGTACATCAGCTGGCTCCTCGCCGCTATTCCGGGAGCCCTCAGGAGCCCGGAATTACTCATGGCTTTCTTGATCTTGCACCCACCTACGTGTGACGTGCACTTCCTACGTGGCTCAGAGGAGCTGAACTGCACACCCCCGGCAGAGAGGTGAGAACTGTGCACGCAGTGCAGAGGATGAGGAGTGCCCACAGCAGGCAGGGGCTGCAGTACCCATGGTAGCATCAGCTCAAATCCTCACCCAGGCATCACCCGGCCTGGAGCACTGGATGTATTTGTGTTTGGTGCAGCTCTTTGAGGCTGATTTTGCTGCTAGAGCTGAAGGATGCAAGGACACCCTCACACTGTGCAATCTTTGGGTCCCAGAATTATGGAATCATAAAATCATGAAGTGGTTTTGGTTCAAAGGGACGTCAAAGCTCATCCTGTTCCATGCACTGCCATGCACTGTCCCAGGCTGCTCCAAGCCCCAATGTCCAGCCTGGCCTTGGGCACTGCCAGGGATCCAGGGGCAGCCACAGCTGCTCTGGGCACCCTGTGCCAGGGCCTGCCCACCCTCGTGTTAAAGAGTTTTTTCTCCTTAGGAAGGTCATATCCAGGGCTCAGGGCTAATTGTGGTGCTCATCCCTCCCACAAACAGCCTCATGGGGTGCTCAAGCAGATGGACACCAGAATGACAGAATGCTGAACTGGAAGGGATCCTTAAGCTCGAGGCAACAGATAAAGAAAAAAGTGGGATTGGGACCAAGTGGAGGGTGGTTTTCTGGGGAATTTTCTCTGGATTCAGATCAAAACAAGAACAATGCTGTCAAGGGTTTTGGAATTTGTAAACTACTCATCCTGAAACCAGAGTGTGGTATTTACTGAATGTTTTGCACAATGCATATAAAAATAATCATTTTTTTGGTTTTTTGGGGATTGGTTTGTTTGGTTTTGTTGGTTTTTTTTCAATTTTGACGAAAGTCTTGGGCAAGCCTAGCTGTGAACAAAAATTCAATCATTACTATGATAAGAATATCATTATTATAATTTATGTGTATGTCTCCATATTTACTGTTTACATCATCTGTAGGCTTTTTGAGGCACACCAAATGCCAGAGGAGTCGGAGGCTGGAGTCCAACATCTCACAGAAGGAGCTGGGCTGTGCTGATGGGGAGATGACCAGTTAAGTTTCATGGCTGAGCTTTTACATCTCCACTTTTCAGAGAGAAATTAGATACACTGAAGGCAAAATATTTGTGCACCCAGAAGTGCCAATTCCATGTCTTCCTACCCATCCCAGGGCCCTGGTTTGCCACAGGGAGGGGAGAGTCAGTCCTGCATCTAGAGCAGCTCTTCCTAGAGACACCATGAGCAGGGCATGTGTCACTTCTGAGGGGCCAGAATCCAAAAATATAATGTAAAAGGGGATAGGTTTGTATGCTGCACCATAAGTAGTGTTTTCCTAAACTGGTAAGATGTCCCAGACTTACAGAGCCAAAGAAGACACAAAAGTATTATAAAAGAAATTGTGCCTGTCTGTCACCTTCCCTGTGACAGCCAACAAAAGGCAGAAGTGGCCCTGAGGACCCAAAAGAACATTTCTGCTGAGTTCTTAGAAAGACACACACAATGACTCACATCCCCCTGAGATGATGAAGCTTTTTCTTCTAGAAGACAAAGATGTCACATTTTTGAGAAAGCGTATTTCTAAAGCTGCAGGACTGTTTACTGTGCTGAATCTTAACATGGGACACTTGCACCGATTGCTCAGAAAAACAGTAACACCCAATCCCCATGGTCCCTCTGCCAGATGTGGTACCTCAAGGGAATCCTGCCTTCAGCCAAACTGCACCCCTCGAGCAGAACAGTTCTTGGCTGGGGTAATAGTTGGATTCAATGACCTTAGAGGTGTTTTCCAACCTGAACAATTCCATGACTCTATGACTCTCTGCTCTGCTGTGCAGCCATTCCCTCTGGATGAGGCTGAGCAAGATCTGGTCCTTGCAGGACAGGGAGGCTGGAGCCAGACACCAATGCATTGCCACTGAGGACGGGGACAAACTTCACTTGTCACGGCTTAGAGAGAAATCCTGCTTGCAAATCACCCCAGGATCAGTTTCAGAGCAGCAGGGCACTCCCAAAGCCAGGTCCCAGTGCTCCCAGCTGCTCTCCAGCTGCTCATTGCCCGTCTGGGCACCAGAGAGTAGACTGGTATCTGTCCCAAGCAGTTCCTTAGTAGCAGATGATGCAAAGTCCACCAGATGGAAAATCTGGGAGCCTACTCAGAGCTATCTCATACCTATGATCTCCACTGTCCTTGCCGGAAGAGGCAGATTCATGATTTCTAGAAACACTTTGGATATTGCATTGGAGTGAGTTCACATCCTTTCTGCTCATTCATTTCTTCCCCTACTTGCAAGAGCTCTGAATTGTTGCACTTCCTTCTGCTTCTTCTGGAAACACTTTACCTCTCCAGCAGTGCAACAAGTGCCACTCGTCTGTCACCTGCCAGGATCAGATTGCTCTGGACAGTGTTATAAATGAGAGACAAAAGTCTCGATATTCAGTAAAATTTTGGATTGCTTTATTTGATATAGAAAGAGCAAGCAGCGCGCTGGGGAACGCGAGGGGTCACCGCCCACTCCATGCTCCACCGAACCTTGGTTTGCAGCCTCTTCTTATACTGTGGGTTCTCAATACTTTTGGGGTTTTTTTTCTTTTTGCTGTCATAATTTTGCTAGGTAAGCAGTGGTGGTTGAATAAACATCCTTACACAAATTCACAAAGCCTTTGGGTGATAATCAGTCACACATAGCCATCTGGTCCTTGTAGATAACCACCAGAGAAGTCCTGGAAGTCTGGTCCTTGAGATAGGCAGCATTGATCAGACAAAGGCAGGAAGGGTTTTTTTTTTTGGAAGTTCGATTTTGCAAGCTGGCAGCCGATACAACTTGTTTAAAAAAACATAACATGATGTAATGTAACATAATACAACATAATATAACATAACAAGGTGATTTTAAACAAAATTATTTAATCATATAATTTCCTTTATCTAGTGTCCATGCTTCACTTTAGAGCTTAGTATTCTGGTTTATGCAAATCCCAATGCTATTGTGATTAACACGAATCTTTTATCAATTGTCACAACAGTTTCTATTCCATAGCTTCCGCCCACCCTGGTTCAGTGACATTTACCCTGGTTCCTTCCCTGTACAACATGTTTCTGTGTGTCCTCACCACTCCCTCAACCAACTGCCTCTGCTTTCAGCAGAAGCCTCAAAGTTCATGTCCTTTCTTTTCTCCTCAGGCTCCATAAACTCCCTCTCCACTGAATGGATGTA